CAGAGCACTTTTTGCACCTTCGTGATGAAAGCAGCTTTTTTTGGGTGGTTATGAATAACGGCAACCAAAATGGCCCGGTGGATAGCATTAGCACCCATGGCCACAAAAAATTAAAGCTTCAGAAATACCCACGCGTCTCGACGATGAGTTTACTTGGTGTGGAGTCCTTCGGCCTACTTCCATCGGCTGGTTGGTACGTACAGATGTAATCGCCTTCATCGCTCTTCAGCGTGCTGCTGATGGCCAAAACTCCGTCCAGATCAGTAGCACCGAACGGTATTGGTGCACCATCTGCACGCTTGAAAGAGAGACGGGCTTGCGGATCGCCTTCGACCCAACAACGGATACTTGCCGGATCGCCTTCAGGTACCCTCTGCTCAGGTGGAGTTATTTGTGGTCCTCGCTCAACTGTAAATATACTGTTAGTCACGGGAGTCCACTAACTGATTACTATAAGAGACTTACCATCACCGACATCAGGTGGTCTTGCTCGTGGCGTGACATGTACAGTGGCTGGGGGAGCCTCTGCCTCTTCTCCTGTTCGTGGATCTTCAGCCGAACAGATATAGTCGCCTTCGTCGGAGAGTTGAGCGCGATTGACAGTCAAAATGCCTCGATCTTGGACGGAATCCTCGTTGATTTCTCCTTGAGTCTTTCTCCACGAAAGGTGTACATTGGGGTTTCCGGGTACCCAACAACGAATGCGGAATGGAGAACCCTCAGGAATTGACTGCTCGATGGGATCGACTTGCGGCTGAAGCTTCGCTGCTAAAATTAGAGCTTGTAGCTTGAAGTCAAAAAGAAATAAAAGAAGCAGTAGACGTACGCCGAACGGCAATGTGTGCAGGAGGAGCGTCTGTTGGGGTTCTGGTCTCAGGATCGAAAGCAGTACAGACATAATGACCCTCGTCAGATTTGGCAGTACGAGGAATCGTCAGAACTCCGTCTCTCTCCTGGGCATGAGGTGGAAGTGGCTGACGGCCCTAAAATCTTGTAGTCACAGCAGTGGCAAGAACAAGTACAAAAAAAACTATGGAGGTCCACTCGCAAAACCTCGTATAACCGAAATTTTTAGTTCGTCGATAGGATCTCAATCTCCTTTCACCTGTTTTGTTTGTGAGGAACTTCGGCGGTTGGAAGCCCGTTCTGATGAATCCAAACTCATTTGGCACCCCTCCCCCCCCAATTACTGCCCATAACTCGGCACTAGACGGGGTGTGTCTGTGGACTTTGTTAAAAACACTGCAACGGTAGATAATTGCGGATTAAAGCGGGTTTTGAGAAAACGTGTACCTAAGAGAACGCGAAGGGCACGCGACACAAGAAAACCTC